ACAGCTGATGCAAACTTTACGGAGCTAACATATGCAAAGGATCTGATAATACTCAACTTTATCAGGAAAAAGCCTTAAGATTCAACATAGTGCTTATTTTTTGAGCGTACTATTTATTGAACCATTATTGAAGTAACAACAATAATAACAACAACAAAGGTCTATATTTTAAGAAAAAACAAGTAAAACTTTAAATTTTTTCTGTCAATTATGACTTGAAACTTGATTCCGACCCCAAAAAGTGAACAAAAACCCTATAGCCAATACCCACTTAGGTTGCAGAGAAAAAACATGAAGTTAATATGAAAAATGCTTTACACTAACTCCAAATAAGAAAATGCATTATGGATTTTACAATTATTCTGACTTAATAGATTTATTAAACATAGAATTTGTAGAGCATTTATTTGGTGTTTTTGTTTGGACTCATATTTGGAAAGTACCTTCAGAGAGGACTGGGAAGGGAAAATAAATTTTAAATTTCCTCTAGACCACAAAAGAGATGAAAAAAGTCTTAACAATTCCTAACTCTAAAACACGAACTTGGCAAAATTGTTCAACTATTTAATCATGTGGTTAGTAGTAAATCAAAATGGAAGTAATGACAGCATTAACATCAAATGCATTTGCAAATTCAGTTTCAAAGTTTTTAACATTTTTCAATGAGAAATAATTTTGTCTTTTTTTGGTCTCGGGGATCGAAGTCGAGTCCTTGTGCTTACGCAGCAGGCGACGAAACCACTGAGCTAAATCCCTGGCCCAAAATAACTATTTTTTAAAAGTTGATGAATGTGAAACAAAGAAAACACTTACAACTCTAATTTTTCCAGGAAAAATGTTATTGCTTCTACTCCTCCTGAAATAAGTTACAATTTCTCTGTTGAATAAGATATAAAATAAGTGTTAAATACAAGTATGGATATAGGTAATGCTCCAAACACTCTGTGATGCACTACCTTCGTAGTTATGCTGACATTTACACAACTGGATGTCATCTTTCATTATTTACCAAATTTGGAAAAACACTATTCTTAACAACAGACATTTATACTACTGCTTAACAAGAGACATATAGATATACAAATTTTAAACGGAAAAAGTTCTCCAAAATTATTTAAAGGCAAAATAAAGCAACAACCATCCATCTTTTTTTTTCTTTCCCAGTACCAGGAATCAAATTTAGGACCTTGCACTTACCAGGCAGGTGCTGCGCCACTGAGCTACATCCCGGCCCACCATCCACCTTTTTGAAGCCTCTGAGAAAAAGGTATTACATGGTTTATGACACTTTTCACAACATAGTAAATATAAATTCTGATTCTGCAATAAAGAATTTAAAAGAAAAATATTTTGTTCCTTGAAAATAATTTCCTTCCTTCTTCTGACCCTGCTAAGCATATAGTGCCCTTAATATCAGGGTATTTGTTGTTGTTGTAGATTTCAATTATATTTTTCACATAGTATTTTGAAATAAATAGATAAATGGAAATTAAAGGGGAATCTGCTTTAGGAATACAGTGATTCTAAATCATTTCACTAAGAAGCACCTTTGATATGCTGGTCTGAACTTTTAAATATAAAATCTAAACTACTGATTTCTGAAGTAGGATTTTCTCCAGGTTTACTAACTTCCTACACGCCAATATTGATGACATCCACCTGTGCTTTCTAGATTTTTTTTTTTGGTACCAGGGATCGAAGTTGGGTCCTTGTGCTTGCGCAGCAGGCGGTGAAACCACTGAGCTAAATCCCTGGCCCCTAGATTTTTGAAGGTGTTTAATAATGTAGTAGGTTGGATATGGCTCATTGTCAAGGTTGGGTGGACAGAGATTTCATGATAAATTGGCTACAGAAAACTAAATAAACTCTTATGACTGAATAATGTTTTGTGTTTTGCTTGAGCAAACATGCTGAAGCCATGTACCACCGCAGTCCCTGCTTAACATTCCTGTTTCTTTATTCTTCATAGCTTTCTAATGAACAAATTAGTATTCCTAAGTAAGAGTAGAAAGAAGATAGCCTTTCTACCAGAAGTATAAAGACAAATACAGTGTCAACTCAAAATACAAATTTTTTACATAGCATTACAGATGCAGAGATAGAGACTGCTGCTCTTCAGTATAACTGGCCCGCTCCTTAAAAAGACTACAGCAAAAAGATTCAGTTGTCTAAAATACTCTGAAGTATAGTAACTAAATTCTTTAAACCATAAACATATCCCTCATCTATTGTGTTGCTAGGGAATACATGAGCAAAATCTGTCATTCACACTTCTACTTCTGCACTCTCTTAGCAACCAGTGGGAAGGTGGTAGAAACCTTTTTCCAGCTGGGAAAATACACTTCCATTTAAATGTTCTTGTGACATGTTTTTCCATCCATTGTCTTGCTCCATATTTTTAACTTTCAGTGAAGTCTGACTGTGATGCTTTCTTGAATACATTTTTCTGTGATGAGCCTACATCTTGGATAAGTTCTTGCCTACTGAAGACTCTAGTTTTCCATTCATTGTGGAATTTAACCTATGAAAGTTATTGTACTCTAGTAGTTCCATGTCTGACAGTTGTCCTTTGGACAAGAGCTTTTCTGCCAAAGTTCTGTGATTTGGATCTGTAGTGGCTGGCTGAGACAAACCTTCATAAACAAATAGTAGTAAACTTGCATAAAAGCTAAGGTGCTTCTGGCTTTCAAACCACTACAGAATTTTCTCAATCTTCTGAGTACTGGCAGCAATTGCATCTTTTCTTAAGCTGAACCCATTATGAAAAAACTTAGAGACTCCATCCCTTATAGTTTCTTTGGTTAAGCTTCTTCCAAAGTGCTGGTTTTGTGTCTCATAGTTATCAGAATGAACATGATAAATCCTCATGCCAAGCACGAAGAATCCAATGTCTTCCATTAATGGGTGTTGCTGACCTGTTGCTGAATCTTCTCAGATAAGGCAAAAGGATCATAGCTTTTTCAACCTATCTTTACATCCATTATACAAGGCTTATTAAATTTATCAGTCACATCCTCCAGTTTTAGATATGAATCATTTGGTGCAGTGGGAGGTGACCAGATACCATAATATTTTGGCAAATATTTTCATAGCTCTAGAAGAACACCATCACTACAATCAGCAGCATGAACCGTATTGTAAAATTCCAGCTCTCTGGGGCCCCTCGGAGGTGGCTGTAACTGTTTCAAAACTGTGCCGTCTGGATGTTGCAGCATTCCCACTCTGCCCTTCCCGTACATGTGCCCGGCCGGCCACCTGATGCGACAGGGGCACGCAGCCGTTAAGGAAATGCAGCCCGCCGCCCGCCGACTTCGCGGTGCCTTCGGGGGCGGCACCGCTCGCCAGCGGGGTCCGCATTTCTGGAGTGCTGGGCGCCTTGAGCGCTGGAGCGGGGATGGCTCCGTGGCCATAACGGAGAGCAAAGGGGTAGCAGCGGCGGCGACAGCAGGTAAAAACAGGGCAAAGGGAGGGGAAGCCAAGGGTCGCTCAGGCTCGGCCGCGAGGAGGCCCAGGGTTTGCCTCAGCCGGTACCCTCTGGGGACCGGGATGGGGTCCCATGACGCCTCGAAAGCGCGGGCGCTCCCTGCCCAACTCTCGGCGGAGCGTGGCTCCCAGCTCCCCCTCGGTGCTGCCCAGGAGAGCAAGCCCAGCCTGCAGCGGCTCCCCGCGCTCCCCAGTAGTGTGTAAATATTAATAAGCATACAGGCATTATTAGTGCTTTGTCTGTATTTATCAGAATGTTTTGGTGCACATTTATGACTTCTGCAGGTGTATTTGGGACTTTTGTGAGTATACAAGTGACTCGGGGGTCCTCTTTCTGTTTATTTTGCAGTGTAAACCTTGAGTTTTATGATGTTCCTTCTGTGTGTGGTCCTCCTGTCTATGATCTGCTCAGTGTGGGGATTTTGTAGCCATTTGTGTATTTGAGTTTATGGGGTCTAGGGAGTGTGTATTCTGGAAGTATGGGAGGTTCATCATGTGTGTTCAAAAACAAAGGTTTTGCAGATTGTGTGTGCAGTCAAGAATTGTGCAGTATATGCATTTTAGAGTGGGTGTATTTCGTATGGGTCATTTTTGAATGGCGCGTGAGACAATAGTTTGTAATCTTAGAGCAGTTGTGGAAGCCTTGGCGCATGTGCTGCAGGGAGTACACACAGCCCTCTCTGTTGGCACATGAGCCAAGTTGCCCCAAACACCAGGCATGAAGTAACAGTTGTTTTTTCTAAACTAAAATCTCCTGTTCAGGTTTAATTGCAGTGTTGGTACTTTGGAATAAATAAATGGGCTTTGGGTTGCACTTTAGGCACTTGGTCTCAAAAAGATTTTCCATCACTGTCCTAGAGTCTGTGTCTATAGAGTTTTCATTGTGTATATAGGGGCAAACACTTGTGTATATTCATTGTACACAACTGTATTTAGGTGATAATGTTATCTTCATAGAGTTGTAGGAGTCATACGGGAATGTTTAGGGTGAGTGGTGTTTACTTCTCTTTTTTATTCATTAAGTTTATTGGTACATTTCAGGTATACATTATGATCACATTCATCATTGTACCTGTACATGATATGTCTTGGTTCTTATTTTTTCCCATTCCCCTTCCCTCCCTTCACCCTCTCCATCCCCTCCAATATACAAAAGGTTGTTTGCGTATTTTTCTCCTTTTTTATTTTTTTTCTTTCCCCCACCCTCTCCCAGTTCCCCTTCCCCTTGATCATTTTTTTTCCCATTTCACAATATCTATTATACATTTTGGTGCTTATTTACACTTTCAGTTTCTCACTCCAGAGAAACAATTCGGTATTTACATATGTGCTTCCTATTTATTTCACTTAAGATTATGGCCTCAAGGTGCATCCATTTAACTTTAAATGTCTCTAGTTTATCTTTCTTTATGGCTGAGTGATACTCCATTTTATTAAAAAAAAAAACTTTCTCCATTCACCAGTTAATGGGCATTTGGGCTGTTTCCAAGAGTTAGCTATTGCAAACTATGCCAATATAAACATGGGTGCAGATATATCACTGTGATAGGATGCTTTTAATTCTTTTGGGAAGATGCCAAGAAGGGAAATGGCTGGGTCAAATGGCACTTCTAGTTTTAGTTTTTTGAGGAGTCTCCACACTGACTTCCATGGTGGTTGCATCAGTCTACACTCCCACTAACAGTGGAGTAAGGTTTCTTTCCCCAAAAAACCCCATCAGTATTTGTTTTTAGTTGATTTCTTGATAACAACCATTCTTTCTGGAGTGAGGTGGAATCTCAGCTTTGTTTTAATTTGCATCTCTTGAATGACCACTGATGTTGAACATTTGTTCATGTATTTATTTGCTATTTGTACTTCTTCCTCTGAGAAATGTCTTTCCATTTCAGATTCCCATTTTTGGATTGGGTCTTTAAATATGGGTGATCTGATTTTTTTGAGTTCTTTTTTGGGGGGGGTGGTAACTGGGGATTGAACACTTGCAAGACAGGCACAGCATCACTGAGCTAAATCCTTGGCCCTTGAGTCCTTTATATATTCTAGATAATAGCATTCTAGATAATAGTTCTTTGTTTGAGGAACAGCTGGCAAAAATTTTTCCCTACACTTTTGATTGTCTCTTCACTCTGTTGGTGATTTCTTTTGCTGTGCAAATTCTTTTTAATAAGATGAGGTCCCAGTTGTTGATTCTTTGTGATATTTCCTGTGCAGTTAGGGTTTTGTTCATAAAGTTTTTACCTACACCAGTGTCTTTGAGAGTTCTACCTATTCTATCTTCCAGCAGATTGTTTCTGTTTTAATATTTAGATCTTTGATCCATTTTGATTTTAGTTTAGTACATGGTGAAATACGAGTCTAGTTTTAAACTTCAGCATATATAAAGCCAATTATTCCTGTACCATTTACTAAAGAGGCTATCTTTCTTCCAGTGAAATTGTTTGGCCCTTTTGTTGAATATAAGGTGAGTGAGTATGTGTGGGGTTGTTTCTGTATCTTCCAACCTGTTTAATTGATACTTGGGTCTGTTTCTGTGTGTGTGTGTGTGTGTGTGTGTGTGTTGCCAGTACCACACTGTTTTTATCACAGTAGATTTGTAATTCAGTTCAAGGATTGTGATGCATCCAGCCTTGCCTTTGTTTCCCAGTATTGGTTTTTCTATTCTAGGTCTCTTCTGGTTCCAAATGAATTTTTGGAACATTTTCTCTAATTCTGTGAGATATCCTTTGGAATTTCATTGAGATTGCATTAAATGCATATAACAATTTTGGAAGTATGGCCATTTTC